TTCCTTCCTTTCCTTCCTTCCTTCCTCACACACACACACACACACACACACACACAGACATCCCCACAGACACAGCAGAGTTTGGTAAATTACTCAAGCAAATCTCTGTGTCGCTGGTGCAGAATTTCACAGGGCACGAATAAATTGACCAAGACTGCGGGCTGGGCAGACCGGCCGCGAACAGCTTGCAACTGGAATTCCAGCACACCATCAAGGGGCGGGAGAACCGAAGGGAGATGGGAAAAGGGGCAGCTGCCCTCCTTCCCAACGTTTGGCAGGCTGATGGGCCCCCCTCCTCCTGCCCCAGTCGGGGAGGGGCACCCTCAGCCCCAGGCCTGCCCGGGCTGCATGAGCTGGGCGGCTCTGCAGGGCTCTGAAATTCTTCCAAGCTTTTCAAGAGGGAAAGAGGAGGAATTAGATACACTTGCTTTCATATTAAGGGAGCAAGGGGAGCCTTAGAAGGATAGGGAGGAAGCCAAAAGAGAAACCACCGACTGCTTGCGAGCCTGCCCTGCCAAAAGAAAAAAAAAAAAAGGATGCCTGAAATATTAATTTCAAAATACACATTTCCCCTGGAAGCCAAGAAAGGCTGAGGGAATTCTTTCCACTGAGCAGTCAGGAGCCGAGGGCCGCACAGCAACCTCTCTTCCAGCGATCAGCCAACGGTTCAGAAGTCAGCAGGCACATTCAGCAAAGGTAGAGGGCATTCAACGTTGCCCCAGCCGCCCCGAAAGGGGGCAAAAGGCACAGGAAGCAGATAATCCCCAGAATTAGGCCCCAAACCAGGGGATGCAACATCACCAGGGAAAAACAAGGAAGGGGTTGGGGTTGGGAAGGTAATCCATTAAAAAAAAGCAGCTAACATCACCTCCCCAACTTTGGCTGATCCTGAAAAAGCGAAAGCAAGGCTGGACTTGGGGAGGATTTGGATGGGAGTCCACTAGGAAATCGCAGGTCAGTTGGGTGGACTGGGAAGTTGAAGAACTATTCCAGAAAAGAGCAAAGACAGACCACCTCCGTGGTGCTGCCAAGACAGAAGTAGAGTTCCACTTAAAACCAGTTTATGAAGCAATGAATGTCTTTATTACAGGTCAGGACCCTGCCAAGTACATCAAAAAGAAA